AATGTCTGCTGTTTCATTTCCTCTGTCTCCTTAGCCAACTTCCTCTCACAACTTTCCATTCTACTTCTACTTCCTTTTCCTATATCCAACTTCTGTTTCAATCCTTAATTCCTCAGCCAACTTTCTATAACTATCCACGTTAATATATGTTTGGGTTTTTGTTTCACTCACGTTTTTCTTAGTTGATAATTACCACAATTGACTAAATTTCCTCAAATCTGTTCCACTATTTCCAATAGTAATTCATGTACCAGAGTATTACGGAATTGTACATTAGTGTGTATTCTAGAATACGTAACACTGCGAAGAAATAATTAACAGAGGAGCGAATCTATTACGTTTCACTTATGGATGACTTTATCTCCGTATCTAATTATCATTCTGTCGGACTTTAACTATTTCATTAAAAGTAGTGGAGTAGAGACGGCCACCTAATCAACTATATATCTGCACAAACAACTAAATTCGCTTTGACAAATAAATATTTAATCTAGAACGATCGATGAATCCCTATTCTTGCCGCCGGTGAATACTTTACATTCGAAAGAAACTATTATTCCACTTGCGATGCTCCAAAAATTTAAGTTTTTCCAAATTCTTTACGTGAATCAAAATCTCTTAGAACAATTTTCCAAATTACAATTTATATTTTTAATTATATAGACACTTGATATTTGTTTTTAACGAAGTAATAAACAGAAAAACAGAAAAGAAGATGGAGAGGAATGTGTAATAAAATATGGAAAACTAAGAAAAAACATGTAAGAAAATGAGGAAATTTGAGCCGAAAAACATAACGAAGATTAGAAAAAGTGTTTTCTAACGATATTTTTCGTTGTAAACAAGACGTAGACCAGAGAACAGAAGAAATTACTTATAAGTGTAATTAGAATAAGAGACATTTTCGGAAGCGAAAGAGCGAAGTTGGGTTTAAGATCAACAACAATCCGAAATATTTTAAACAAGTTTAACAAAGAAGTACACCCGGGGAGAAGGGAGGAAAGAAGAGACTCCGGAGACCGACTGCGAATATGCAGAAGTGACGGTTGGTGGCATAGTCTGGGCTTTATAAGAAAATTAAATTGGACGAAGTAGAGAAGGAGGCGAGAGGAGGAGGAGGAGGAGGAGGAGGAGAAGCAATTTTTGCAGATAATTATTTGTGTTATTGTATCCCTTTGATCTCCCAAATCCGCTAAGTAATTAAATGTCAAAAAATCTAATCAGCGGACGTCAATATTCGCTTAAGGACTCGGCTCCGTTACAAATTCCGGTAGGAAGCCCTGGCCGGTCTATAATCGTTTTATTTTTTTATTTATTTTTTTTCTCTCTTCCGGGAGGGAATTTTTGCACTGCCAAAAACCCAACTCGGACATTTTCGGGGCGCCGGCCGCGGGCTAACCAATGCTAATTACGAGCGCGGGGGGAGGAAAAATTCATTAGTTTCTAATTAATTATAGAAATCGGGTAATTAAGAGTCGGCTGACGGATTCGGCCGTCCTAAATTCTTTCGGTTCCTCACCCGTCCGTCCCTCGTCCGTCCTCCCCGGCTACGTTTTAATTACGTCACTCGTCTTGCACGCGATCCTTTCGCCCACTTTCCGCTTCCGAGAGTCCTTCAAAATGGCCGCCGGCATCCGGTTCGAAGCCAGAACGTACGGAAAGAGGAAGTCAAATTCTCTTCCCTTCTTCGGGCGTCGGACCCAGAAAACGGCCGAATAAATTGGACCGAGTAGAAGAGGAGGAGGAGGAGGAGGAGGAGCCGAGACTTATTTATCTTCCGGTGACGATATAATATGTCTAGAAATGATTAGTTTTTTGGTCTCGATCGAACGGGATAGATGATACGTCATATTATACATATGTGTGACGTTATTGATGCCGTTATGATTAGAAATAGTATAACTGGATATGATTTGCTGTGTATGGATGGATGTGGAATTCCAATTTCCCATTTTAACGGTCTTCTTTAGCATTAATTAACATTCAGAAATGAGGATCGCGTAAAAAGGATGCCTTGGAATAAAGGATCGAAATCTCAAAATGCACAGCATTATAGGCTAAAATACTATAGTATTATCTAGGAATTTATAGATGTACTGTATAAATTTGGCATTTATCGCAGGATAAGGATAGAGACGTTTAAATGTAATACATATCTGGTTTATTCACAACACAGTTTAGAGAAAAAACAAGCGTAACAAAACCGGAAGTACTTCACCACTTCCGGATTTTTTCCTGCCTCTTCTTCCGGTTCCACTCTTCATTAACCGGAAGTGGCAAAACCATACGGTAAGCGAAAGTGGATCGAAAGTGGAATCATACGAGGCCTTGTATAAAAAATAAATAAATAAATAAACACACAACACGAACGAAGTTAAACTTAAAAGACTTGAACGTTAGAGAATTTCGTGTATTGTTTTTCTGGTATTCTAAAGATTTCTACTCTAACCGAATACGAGAAATGGAAAAAAATCAGAAAACCGGAAGTGGGAATGCGATAAGCGCGTGGAGTTCCGCGGAACGAAATACAGTCGAGACGTCATCGATCGCGTAAATCCGACGTCGAACACCACTTACTTTTTCGTGTTGTCGCTCTTCTGTATTCCACAGAAACATCACTTTAGCGGTTTTTCTAAGTTGGATAATACACACTCTTAAAAACAAGCTTTAAAAAAAAAAAAAAAAAGCATTTGTTTCTCCGTGTTTCCTCTTCTTTTCCGTCCCAGAAAACATGTTTATTTTATTTAATTTTCCAGCAATCAATAGAATAAATTTACCAGAATTTACAGAAGCTACAAAACATTAATCTTTAAACATAGAATTAAGTGTATCCTGACAAAAAAAAAAAATCCCCTTTTTTAGATTTTTAATTAAGTTTCTAAGAGTAAAATAATCATTAAATATGTACGAAGTTTTGTATATTTTAAGTATATTATTATATATTTGATTATTGATGTTGTTTAATAGAATTATACGCGTAAGAGGATCCGCCATGTTTTATTTAATTATTTTAATTTTTAATTGTGTGAAAGTAAATAAATAACTAAATAAATAAATCCGAATTACAACTTCGTTGGTCGAAATATTTAAGAATAGAAGAGAAAAACAGCGAAATTATCGATAAAATTCGACGAGAAATGTTGATTTAATTAAATAAATCAAAAATTAACTTAAATGTAAAATAAATTAGTAATTTGAATAACTATTCTAAGAAAAATAAGAGGTGAAAATACACCCCCTATAACACTGTTGATTTTTCCGTTTTATATGAATTCCATGTTGTACGAGTCACTTAGATTTTACAAATACGTGAGCCGTTTACAGACCGGCACACGTATTTGTAAAATCTAAGTGACTCGTACAACATGGAATTCATATAAAACGGAATAATCAACAGTGTTATAGGGGGGTCGACTGGTAATAGATACTTTGGAGCTTCAGGTGGATCGTAAAGTCATAGGAATGGGAGTAAGAATTACATATTTTCTTCAATATGTTGTAAGAAAGACTGTTGTAGATGAATATAAATAATATCTACGGAGAGGAAGGGGGAATTCTTTTATAATTTAGTAAATAACTATTACAATTATCGATGTAGAAACACGAGAATTTAATACTGGAAACTACGTATAATTAACTACAATAGAAACTAACCGTATAGTATTAGTAGATTAGTTGCGGTCCGTAAATGAGGGTGAAGACGAGAGAAGTAGCAAACAGATTTATCCAGATTACAATATCATTACGTACAGTACAAGTTACGAGTAACGAACGTGTTTATATAATTTTTTATCAGGTTTTTAGACGTAATTTATAGTGTTTTTTTCGTAACAGGATTAATAAGTTGTCCGGTTTGATTGATAAAAACGATATTTAGATTAGAAATAACGAAAAGATGGAGGAAGAGATGGATGATAACGAAGATAAAAACGGCAATTCTCGCGGGTTTAGAACCCGTTATTGATAAATGAATTATAAATTTTGAGAGTGTTTAATGCAAAAATTGAATAATTTACTCGTAAAATCATTAATACAAGTTCATTTTTTTCTTAAAATAATTGATGAAGGAAGAAAGAAATTCTTGAATTTCCTTACCTGGCGCTCATCGGATTACCTTACAGAGAAGAGTTACTTTTATATCAAAAGGCAATTAGAATTGAAAGTACACACCAAACTGCCAATATAATCATTTATATAATGTCTAAACGAATTTTTAAATATAAAAACATTTACTTTATTAGCGTAATAATACGAGAAACATCCGAAAGTTCCGTTTTAATTTCTACGGAAACTAACTTTTCCAACAGCTTTCCCGACTTCCGATTACGTTACGGAACGATTGTTACACGTCACACGGGATAATACAAGTGGTGCGTTTACGCTGGTCACTTATCGCTAGTCATCGACCGCGTGCGGGATGGCGACACGCTACACTAACTCCGATAGATGCGGTGTGGTCGGCGCGATTTCTCGCTTACGTTAAAGGGTTGTTGTTGTTTTTCTCTTCTCCAGGGGATCGCACTCTTTCCATTTTCCATTTGTTGAACGAGTGGAGATCCCAAATTACATTTTACAATTCGGGTGTTTCATCTTTTCTCTTTTCTATATATTAAAGTTGAGAAGTAGATTCGGCTTCCCCCTTTTTTGTAGATAAGAAACGAATTCCTCCCTCCCTAATTTTATCATTTCAGACGATTCCCACCTTTGTTTTCTTGACGGTAGACGAGTGTTTTCAATGGAAAACGTTCCTCCTCGTCCATTTTTTTGGGGGGGGGGTGGAAACTAATTCAACCCCATTTTGAAAGAGGGGGGAAGAAGTCCATTGTATGATTTTATACGTTTCCGTGTGAAAAAAACGAGTTAAACTCTAGCTATTTTCTACTCGTGGGGTTGGGAAGAGAGTTTCCTTCTTTGCCGTTTAGAGGGTGGAAAAACCAGTGGAATTTGACCCGTTTTCGGGTGTCGGGAGGTGAAAGGGAGGTGGCGCGCGAGAGACTCACCTTTGGCCACTATGGCCACGCACAGGCACGACGTCAGCATAACGTGTAGAATATCCGAGAGCGGCGGACAGGCCGACCGCGCAGTTCGGCGCATCGTCCAACACTGACTCTCTTTGGCTCGGTGGCGCCGCGGTCGGCAGCCGCCGCGGTTAACCGCCGGAGGCGCCCTCCTCGCACCCTCCTCCCGTCCCGGCGATCGACGCCCGTAACGGGGAGACGACGCGGACGCGGAGTGGGATAAGCACCCCCTGACTAAATTTGTATCGAATGTAATTAAAGTTATCGAACGAATTTTGAGGAATTCGCCCATATATATACATATTTTGTACGTTTTAAAATAATTGTTACGCTTAATTAAAATTCGAAGTGTCGTAGATTTTGAGTAACGTTCTCGCTAATTCGTTAGGATACCCACGGTTACGGTCTTTATTGTAAATTGAATTTGTAATTCAAATTCTGTTTACAAACTAAGGTTGAGAGATTAGAAATCTTAACTCTTTACAAAAAAATTGATTTTCTCGTTTATTATATATTTTTTTATAACTAATTATTGGTGTAATAAGAATGCGATTTATATTTTTTATCATATTAATTTTTTTAAAGGTAAATAAATTCGAAACTTTCTTTATAATTTGAGATTAAGTTAGTCTGTGTTTAATGTTAACTTATCAAACGGTAGATCGCGAGCCACGAGTATAGTTCTTATTAATTTTGCATTTTTTTAATTTTCTAAAAGATTATTTACTATTTAAAACATTATACAACACTATATTAATGTGTCTGTAAACATTCTTAGGGTATTTTTTTATAATTACTCCCTTTTTCGAGACGTCGAGAACTTCCAATTGGACTAATGCATCCTTTTAAAATTAAAAGAATGAATAAAACAATGCAATATAANTTTACGTCTTTCTTAAATGAAAGACTAGAAACTGGATCCTTACATATGATATTTTGTGTCAGGAGCAAGCAGGTTCTCTCTCTGATCAAGTGGAGATACGTATGCTAATATATGCAGACAATACTGTAATTCTTGCTGATATTCTCCAAATGTTTCAAAAGAAAATTATCTTCTTGTTTACATTATAAAAGTGATTCTAGTATTGAATAACTGAGTAACTCTATGGAGATTTGGAGTGCCTAAAAGTCTAAATTATGACCACGTCGCCATATTTAATGAGTTTTTCACTTACTTATTCTGATTCTGCACATTGCTGAACCACTTGGGAGTGTTGTTAAGTATCCAGTTAGTGAAATGCAATCCTCAACGATCATAATCGAAAGGTGGCTATAATTTGAGATTACTCAGATTTCCAACACTATAATCATAAATTTGGATAATTTATTAAAATTAAACTCAATGATCAAGATTAGTTTTAATTATTTATTACTATTTGAACACATATATATATATGTACAGTATGTGTGTGTGTATGTTAGTTATAATAACTATTTATCACTGTAAGTTATATAATTATTATACTATAGAAGCATGAATGCTGTTGAATAAATTTCCTATTTCCCTTGAAGTATAAATGCAGAATTTGAGTGCATAAATGTAAATTTTTAATATAAAATACATAATTAAGTGTTGAGAATGATAACTCTCAATAGAGTCGACTGACGAAAGGTGAAGAAGAATAAGTCATACATCAATAAATCTTACACGTGTTTATATAAATAATAGTTAAAAAGTAAACTATTTTTGTTTATACTTTGATTATTTAACGTTTGAAAAATGATTCTTTAAATTGTTTTAATCATAAAGATAAGCAAACTTTCCTATATATACGAAGATAATAAACAGTTTGTAAACGTCTGCACGAATCGTTACACTATAATAAATTGTGTAACAAGTATAATAAATGTTAGACTATAATCTTGGTCGATCTTACTAGTGTCATATATTTCAAACAAAGTCACTATATGGGCGTTGCAATGTTATATGAACACGCATCTGACTTACTTTAATTGTTTTCGTTGGCATAATTTCGTTTTCAACTTTAAAAATTTTATAGGATAGTTCTAAAAGTAACACATTTTTAAAGTTTTTGAAGGTAAATCGAATGAATAAAAGCAAAATTACGAGGGGGGAAGAAGTGTAGAACTTTGGATTAACGGAATAAGACAAGGGAACACTTGAGCGATCTATCAAAAGGGGGGAAGTTACCCCTATTTATATACGTTAAGATAATCCAGAATACTTCAGGTGGTCACCCTTTGGGGGGAGACTAATTACTAAATGTTTACGTTATCCATTCGGTAGAATTTAAAGGCTAAAGTTCACTATTAAGTGTGGAATTTTGAAAATTAAACTGAATTAATCCACGAACTTTAAAAGTAATAAAAATTATGGAAACAATAGAAAATAAATAAGTAAATCCAAATATTTTTACTTTCAGAAACTAAAAGAATTTTTACTAAAGATTATTTTTCTTCTTATAACTCGAGAACCGTTCATTTTGGAGACTTCCAATTTGGACTGTTCGAAAAAGGAAAAATTCTTTCGCTTACTAAAAGTTTATATTACTTTTATTTTCGATATTTTTTTTTTGAGAAATTTTCAGGATATTTTAAAATATATATATTTTTTAGTGTTTTTTNCCCTATAACACTGTTGATTATTCCGTTTTATATGAATTCCATGTTGTACGAGTCACTTAGATTTTACAAATACGTGAGCCGTTCACAGTCCAGCACACGTATTTGTAAAATCTAAGTGACTCGTACAACCTGGAATTCATATAAAACGAAATAATCAATAGTGTTATAGAGGGGGTCGACTGTATTCTCTCTCTCTACTTTTACTCTCACTATCAGTAGTGAATATAAGATAAGCGATGGAATATTCTGCTGCTATAATCCTCTATAAACAGTCAAAATTGTTATCTATGGTAATTAGAAAGAAGGGAAAAGAGCATTGGATCTCATCGAGGTGTAAGTGAACAACGAACGTATACGACGTGAAGTGAATCGTAAAATTGGTATGGTAACTTGTTGACATAATAGTAGTATCTTCTGTCTGTCCTACCACTTAAACTATAATATCTGAAATTTTAAAAAGAATACCGAAGGCTTCTGTAATATAAGAATATTTTCCGTCTAGGGTTGAACCAACCGGTTGATATACTCTAACTCTATGTATAATGTATGAATGTGAATATTACTTGGAGAAAAGTGTCTGTTCGTGTTCAGTCGGAAACTGCTAAAATCTCTTTTGGATAAAAATACATTTTTAACCTACTAGCCTTTCATTGTAAAGCATTCTTACACCTAGAAAACATCTTCGTATCTCTCTCCCTCTCTCTCTCTCTCTTCTTCCTCGATTTAACTCTATTATAATTAATTTAATTCATCTAGAAGAGTGTAAGGTCGATAAAACTTCTCCATTCTTATAGAGAAGTTATCCAACATCTTCTTTTCTTACGGATCATTTTAGCATCCTCCAAAGTCAAAGAGGATCGACTGGTTAGAGATGAAGATTTTGTTCTAAAGATAAGGTTTCGCCGTATCAATTTTAGTAGTAATAATTTGTTTATAAAATAAAATAAAAGAAGAAACTTTATAGGATTTAAACACACCATTCTTATTTTATATTCGATAGTTGTTACCCGCCATCTTTAACGTTTCCTTCTCCAACTACTTTCGAGAATGGTAAATATTTAACTCGCGTCATCGATATCAAATATTTACCTGGATATAAAATAAATCCTTAGTTTTAAAAGCGTACTATCTAAAATATCTATCACTTTCCGAATTTTCGGAAGTAACGAAAAGATGTATCCGGTTTTATTTCCTTCTCGTGTACTTAAAAGGGAAAGAGACGGGAACGTAATACGAGTTAACATAGGTGACATCTTGCCTTATTAGATTTTAATAGGATTTTTTGGCAAGAAGGTTAAATACGATAATTGCCCCACACTCAATCGAATGTATCCTACGATTCGGATGTTGCAGTTGTTGGTTTTATCCTTTCTGTGCCGCTCCCGAAACAACGAAAGTATACGGAGAATACAGAAGACGTCTTTCCGACAAATAGATATTATTGTGTTGGATATGATAGAAATGATTTCCGGGAATGGGTTTCTTTGTACTTCGGTTGTTTTCCTTTCCGAACTCCTTTGTGCCGTTCGTTCTACTAAAGGCCAAACTTTCCTCTGATTTCTATGCCTGGCACGAATCCTTTCTAACTGCTCGCCCCCTTAATCGTCCCCTACTAGGTTTGTTTAGCACCACCCTAATCCTTGGTATTTTAGGATTTTCCAAGGATACGTCATCAATTTTTTTTTTATAAAATTAGCTTTCCCAGTCTTATTTCACTTCGTATCTTTTATTCTAAACCATTAATTTACGGTTAAGATAGAATTTAGGTGTTCTCTTCTGTTAATACAGAAATGTTTCCCTCCTTTCCCTCCTATTCTATGTTCAGTTTATATCATTTTGTCTTAAATTAACATCAATAGATTGCGGGGGAGTTCTCTCTTAATTGTAATTCATTAAGAATAAAGGGAAATACAAGGAATAGACTACATCCTTTACTTTAGTATAGAATTTTAGTCTATCTCTTACCTTCCAACTATTAATTTCATAATATTAAACATAAAACGAGTTAAGAAAAAGCCAAGAAAACTTCGACGTTAATGTTTAAGCCATAACTTGCAAGAAAATTTCAATAACTACGATAACTAAATAATCGATTTTATGACTCTTGGCCTAGAAAGTTACATACCCCCTGATAAATTTTTCGGTCTTAATTCCATTAGTAATCACTTATATTCGATGTTACGACGTCGTCACGAGAAAACTTTAAAAAGACACAACTTCTTATATCGCTTCGTTTATCAAAATATTTACTTAATAAACACCATTAAGTTAATTAAACTCAATAAGCGTTTAATCCTCCTAGTAAAAAAACGAAGAAAGTTTTGCTATCGTCTCGTTCCTTCGTCGTAAACAACATACGTTATGCTTAGTCTTTAGCCTCGGTTTTTCCAGAAACTTTTAAAAAAATATCCAGTCCTGTTAATTGCAATTATTGTTACAGTTTGCGAGAGGATTTTTTTTTTTTTTTGTATTTTCGTCTTGGCG